GTTGACAAGTAACTATATATACCTTGTTCCTACAACGAGTGTCGACATTGGCAACTCACCATTTATCGGAATAACGTAGAGATAGGTACTACTTAGTTTTGACATTTCCAAATGACCCTAAGCTTGCAAACATATTGTATATAAGTATAAACTGTATACAATTCTATGCACACGCTAATGATCTTAGTTGAGTGCATCCAGACCTTAAATATTAATATTTATGCATGGATTCACTCGGTTAGCTATACTACATATCAAAATAGAGGTATCGTTGATAAAATTGATTAATTTGTTTAATTTTGGAAGGGATAAAGTCTTCTTTACTTTATTATTTCTTTCTACCTCGCTGTAGGATTGGTGTAGGTACTCTGTTCACTTGGATTTGATTATTTTGTTACTCAAGTAACTAAATTGTTACTAAATAATAAAATTCACAAGATTTAATAAGTATAAATTGTGAAGTCTTGTGAATTTAACTATATTTGATAGTTTTGTATTCACATAAAATCTGTTAATTTGAAAAACATTGTTTGAATCAACAATAGGCAAGTTTCTTGGTCACAATTCTTGTGTTAAATCTGATATATGAATGAGTAATAATACAAAAATATACTTCAAAAGTCTGATTAAGATTATCTAAATAAAAATATTTCTATTCTTTTCTATACGTACTATGTGTATAACTAAAATTCTTATAATCACTATAAATATTATTCTAATATTGATTTTGATAACTGTAGTATATAGATACATACATACATAAAAGCATACAATGACTACGTAGGTAGTAGTATCTACAATCTTTCCTGTTGCCAAATTTAAAAAACAATTACCAAAAACGTTGCTCTTCGGTAATTTTTTATACATTTTTTGTGTTTATATATTCTATCAGGTCATTAATTTTTGTAAACCCCAAATAAATATTATAGTTTTTAAAATAAAATTCCTTCTGCTATACGCTTATAATGAATCAGCAATTTTCACGTAGGTGACTGTATTTACAAAAATTAAAGTTCAAAATGTTTGAAGTATTTATCGCCGTTTTATCTATAAGGTAATGCGATTCCATATCAGTCAAAATCAATAGATGTCTTGGTCGAAACTGGACTGTTTGTATAACAGCAAGATAGACTTCGTGATAACACCACACTACTCCGCTCGTTTGTATGGGTCTAAACTAAACTCAGTCTTATAGCGCATTAATAATGTTCAATTTTTGTAGTTACGTACACATACATTTTTATAACCTAAACCTATTTATAAAAATGTCACTAGCTATATTTTCATATTCAGTCATCTAGTCCAGATGATTTTTCCTTTTTTTTTGGGGTCTTGGTACAATGAGGTAAATAAATGACGATGACATCGTCACATTTATCTCATCGTATCTATATTAATTTAAAAAAAATTGACGTGAATTAAATTCAGTCAGAACAGTAACTTAGTTAGATCAGAAGCTGGCACTGATCTAGCTAATTGTATATACCTACCTATACGTCTGACCTATTTAATTTCAGATAGTTCCATATATTTGGCCTGGGATATATTCCAGTGAGTCGGCTTATATAAGAAAATTGTAGCAACTGTCAGCTGCAATTTTCTTTGTTACTACCACATATAATATATGTAATAAGAAATATCTTCTGCTTCATTACAAGTAATGCCACCTGGAAATATTTATTCAAAACTAATTTTACCTAAATATTGTGTACGCATGGGTACACAATATTTAGGTTTTTTCCATTTTTTATATTAAGTACTAGTACCTACTACCTACTGGTCAAAAGGAAAAGTGACTTGACTTTAATTGGTGAAATATTTTTTAACTAACTTGACGTTCATAAGCGGATAGAATGTTCTATATGAATAAGTAATTTACGATTAATTATATTTATTTAAAATCAGTGTATATAATAGCTGGTAAAAATTTGTTCGCAACATAAATAAAATAAGGAAGCAAGTTTTAAATCTATTTTTAATAAGATTAATTATTATCATTTAATTGCGCAATATTTTGATTTATAATAACAGTTTTACAAAACAATACCAATCAAGTTTATAAAACAACTGTAAATCTATCTATCTATCATTGAAACTGAATTGCCTAAACATTGAAGCATTATAGGCCCTATTATAGAATTAGTTTTGAATAGTTTTTGAGATTAGATAATAATATTGGATTAGTGAGTTTAGGACGATTAGAGAATCAGATATTCTCTATATAATGAAGTAGATGAATACTTTGAGAATGTATTGATACCGTCTATAAGTGAGTGATAAACGAATTTATATTATACATAGATATATAGATTATATTTGTACTAAAACTATTGCAAAGAGAGTTACCACCACTTGTACTATTACAAGCGGCATGGACTATTTACATAAATAGTATTTCTATAAATACTTATGTTTTTCGAAGGAATAATATGTTATGCTATATAAGCTGGCGGGGGAATTGTTAATATAATATTATAATATTTTGGATATCCTGGAGAGATCAGTTTGGTTACATTGTTATTAATATTTTTTATTACTCCTATTAGTTAATATAGAAATACCTGTAATTCGTTCAATCTAGGTAACAATTTATCCAAAACATATAGTGATAGATGGTGATAGACAATGGCGCTTAAAAATATTATCAATACTTAACATTTTTTATCAGAATCTGCTTTGATAATGGCCATGGTATTATATCTAGAAGTGTAATCTACCTTTAAATATTTTATTATGACAAGTAGATCTACAATCTAAATCAATACTTATACCTATACCTTTTGCTTGAAGTCCCTTTACATTACTATTCAAATCGAATCTCTATTTTCGATTCCTCTTGGAAAACTTATAAAGTTCTGTCAAATTCAAGACATTCTGAAAGAAATGGCCACAGAAATAAAGAAACAGGAACACACTTGTACAAAATGATTTTACGTTTTAACAAATTGTACGTGTCGTTGTACTGTAATAGTTGAATCAAATATAACTGTAAATTCCTTATTGATATATTTTTTCTATTATGTATATTTGTTAGTTATTCTGTATATAGCATTTTTTATTCGGTTATTTATTCTATTATTCTATTATAATTTATTATAAACATTATCACTTATGTCAATATAATTTTCTCTTATCACCACAAATGGGAACGTGTAAGTTTAAAAATAATGAAATTAAAGCAAATATAGGTTATGTAGGTTAACAAACAAAGGTGGGCTACGCGAAAAACCTCGTAAGTTTTCGTCTTTATCTATACTTTGGAACATTGCAGAAACTTCGATTAGATAAAAATAACAGATAAATGCTTGTGTAAATAAAAGATGCATAATATTCACTGATAGTAGGTACATTTAAACCACTTGTTGAACGACTTTTGCATTTCCTTGTATTATGTGCAAAATATGTACATTAAGATTGTATGTATATGTAACTATTACAGTTATGTACGTGCTATAGTATAAAAATAAAATTAAATACGTATATATTAATCCACATGAAATCCATTTCATTGGATAAATTGAACATAATTATGTTCTATTTATTCAATGAAATGGACCTCAAGGAACATAATTTGTATTATGGAAATAGTTTTAACTTTTTCATGTTATATAGATACACTAAATATGATTTTATGTAAGACTGAGTTTTATGTAAAAGATAGAGTAACTATGTCTCCGATACACAACCTATCTTCATTATCAATTTAATTGAGATTCGATCTCCTACTTAGACGTAAAAAGGTAACTAAGAGATAGACATACAGACACACGCTTTGGCATTTATAATAAGAGTATGGATGTCAATTCATTGTTATAAATAAAACTCTAAGAAATCGTACTACAATCAAAATTACGAAAAATGTTGACATTAAAATGCACAAATTAATGCGATATGATTTTATAAAATAGTATTGAACAATTTATTTTAAATCAAGAGAATTATAAGTCTGAAAACATATGATTTTATAGTTTTCATCTGATTTTATAGTACATCGCTTTGGATACTCCAAAAGGATGAAGGACTGGGGAAGAAACTTATATATATATCATATGTAATATAACTCGGTGTAAAGGAATTTTCGAATCATACTAAAATAGCTTGGTGTAGGGTTTATTTCGTGTTCTCGTTCTTAAACTCTGATCAAACTTCCTCACTATTCTTTTACTTATATTAATTATGATTTCTAAAAGGAAACACTATTAATTAGACTTCCTTCAATTTTATCGGTAGTTATGGATATTTTTAAACGTTGATATGAATAATTGAAATTTATTACTGAAACTTTTCTGAACTGAATTAATAAGATGAATCGTTTATAGTTCGTGATACTGGGTATCAGCGATCGGTGTTATGATCATACCGAACTAGTGTGAAACAAGAAAGCCTTGTGGAAACATTACCTACGGTACGAGTCGAACGGGTCCAGCTCTAGTACCTATCGGAACATATAAAGTGAAACTGCACCGAGTTGTTTATCAATAGCAATTTTATTATGTAGCAGACACCTGCCTCAGTGCCTATTCTCCTCGAGGTACTTCATGCAATACAATTCGAAAGCATTATTGTAGTCATAGAATTATTGAAAATTAATATAAAACAACCATGCGTTCCCACTTGTAATGATTTAAAACCTGCCTCTTTATACCTTAATTCATTGAAAGCCCACATAGTTTTCACTGATGAAAAGTGAAATTAACGCGGACAGACACAATAAACTCGAAGGATTATATAAAGCAAATCCTATTATGATTCGTTTAAAACATCATTTAGACATCGCTATCTAATAAACAATGTATCACCTTAGTACTCAGAAATGAGAATGTATCATGAGCATCACACTGGGCACTGATTTTATCCTTGAATTTATCGATGGTTAAATTTGATTTCATTAGGTGGGTCGAACGTATATTTACAATCTATTAAAAAAACTAACTTATATTTACGACTACAATGTCATAAGAAAATGATAACAGAACAAACTCTACTTGGCCATGATTGACTTAATACAAGCAAATATATTCAAATCTATGATCGCTTATTTGTTTTCTATAATGTGGAAGTGAATAGTAATCATTCAGAAAACTAAATATGCCGATCAGTAATATAGAGGATTATTGGAGTTCCCGACGTATTTACCTCATGGCGGTCCTTTGTCAAATAATAGGAATACCTACTTTCATCATGTTACCAAATGCCGCTGTCACTCACGGAGCAACTGGATATATAATAGGTTATATATTTAGTTATTTATTCATCGGTATACCAGTGCTCTACATGGAGTTTGTAGTCAGTCAGTTTACAACTAGAGACTGTATAAACGTGTGGAAAGCACGTGCCTGTCTATCTCACATCGGATACTTCCTCATCATATGGCAATGCTTTGTAGTAATTTACAACCATATTATAAACTCCTTCATGGTCCACTATTTATTGATAAGCTTTGAGAATCCAATACCTTATTATGTGTGCGGTCCCTGGACCACACAGAGCTGCAACATATTAATTCGAAACCACACCGTTAACGAAGACTGTTTAAGATTGAAACAACCACTAAGTTACTGTGATTATCTTCATACAACTTATCCAGAATATCAATATTGGAAACATAATTTACTTGGTGTGAAGGGCATGAATTATTTTCATGTAGCTTGGCGTGTGTGTTTGGCCTCTTTCTTAATATGTGTGATTATGTATCTTAGTTGTTTCAAAAGACAGAAATCGGTCAAGTGGATTGTAGGTATTTTAATTTTGTATCCTATTTTCGGATATAGTTTACTGATGATGGGATCAATGGTTCAAAAAGGATTGGTAATCGAATATGAGGAAGCTTTAGATTCAGATTTTAGCCTTTTCGTTCAGAAATTTCGTATACCGCATATGATTTATCAGGTTGTGTATAGCCTGGGTTTAGGATCAGGGATTCCATTCAACTTAGCAGCTGGCAGCTTTTTCCGAGCTCCATGTTACTCTAACACAGTGACCACTGTATTGATTAGTGCTGTGTTTACTACTCTGGCTGTTTGTACAACTGCTATGATGTCCTGCTCTTACGCATACGAGTACAAAATTTCTCCTCATAGAATCATGCAATCCCAGTTGTCTTTAGTTTTCGAAAAAACTACAAGGCTCTTATATGAGTATGAGAATAAAACATTTTGGCTCATTATAATTTTCAGTAGTAACTCTATGTTAGGAATAGGTAGTAATGTTATCCTAATTCTCCACTTACTGGATATAGTTTGCTTGAGATATGAAATAGTTGCAAAATATCCTGGAATGATATGTTTTATTGGCGTCTCTTTTATATTTTTTATTACTATTCCGTTATTTGGTCACGTTGGAATGAATATTATTGTAGGATTTAGGCGCTTCGTTAACTTTGTGCCAGTGTTTATTGCTTCTCTCGAATGTTTTGTCTATGTTATATGGTATGGACTAGATAGATTTTCTGAAGACGTACATTTTATGCAAGGCATACAACCTAAAAGTTATTTGAAAATTGGCTGGATGACCTCCAGTTTCATTTTAGGCTACGTATTCGTTACCGAACTTTACATTCAAAAAAATAATTCAAAGGAGACTTTAGGGGATACTATAGGATGGTATTCACTAATAGCGTCTATAGGAATGATTGTGTGTATATTTGTTATAAAATTATTAATTGGAGTATTTAGAAAAAATATTACCGAGGTAATACAGTTGGACCCAACATGGGGACCCAGGAGTGAGGTACTGCAGAGAAGTAGAGCTATGTTTACTGCTCAGGCCATGACGAAAGAATATATGTATCGTCAATATCATCTTCAAGCTGGAATATCGATGCGACAAAGAACCGCCAATGTCAGAAGAGAATGTTATCAGTAACTATGGAAGTAATTATTCTAGTATTCATCTTCTATAGGCAACTTTTATAAATACATTAGATTTATAGTATAACGTTTATTTTTGTGATGCCACGTGTGTTGTTGTTATTATGAGTCATTGTATATTATTATTGCCTATGGCTATTATATGAAAACTAGTATTGGATATTACGTAATACGCAATGTATGACTCACCTCCAAAAATATTAAAATATATGTACCTGGGAGTATATTATTTAAATTGGTGCTATAATACATATTAATTTAATATCGACGAGACAAGTATTGGTGACTCATTGATCTCCGGCTAGTTTTGTATATCTGAACAATGTATCTATATAAATGTCAATAGTGCAGTTAGCAAACATGTTGCATAAATAAGTACCAACATACTCTGCATATTGAAAACAAACAAACACATACGTATCAACATATAAAATATACTATATATGTATATGTATATATATAACATATGTATATGTACATATATAACATATATATGTGTATAAAATATGAAATGAGTTTTCTTAGGTTGGTTAGACTCTATTATAGTCTATAAAATTGATTTGATATAACTTCTATGCTTTTATTTTCGTATAATAGATGTTATGTTTAATGATATTATGACTGTATATCACTGGTTAGTAGTTTAGTTTGTGCGAATTAAAAGAGACAAAGAAGGAGTGTCAGACTTGAATGCGAACAATATCATAATCTACAAGAACTATTGTAATTTCTGACAATGATGAATTGTAAAGGGATAAAAATAAAAAATCGCGTCGTAGAGACAGTGGCTTGATAAGATGATAATGATGAACGATTATATCCCTAGGATAGTTCCTAGATAGTTTTTAATACTATATTTATCAGCAACGTAAGGCAATCTATATTTTTTACACTAAAATATCTACACTTACTACATATGTATATTGAATATTAACTTCCACGCTTATTTAAACAAATAATTTTAAACGAGTATATATATCTCTAGTTTTATATTGATAACGAGCTCCATCAAATTTATTTAATGGTTTATAAATAAGAGACTAGAGACATCTAGGCATTATGTTGTAAGGGGGAAGGTTAACTTTAGTAGCTCCGTCAGGTTTCTTTCTACCTGCAACAAAGCCTTATTATGTACTACGACTTTCACAATGCCGCTGAGGTGCTAATCAGTACTTAAACCTAATTGTTTTGTTACACATCAAATACTCAATTTGACGTCTCTTAACGTTCCAATACGTACAGTATCTGAATAAATTTTATTGTTAAAGAAAATCTACATTTAATATTCTCAGAAAGAAAATGACAACTGAAGAACAAAAACTAAAAATAAAGCATCACTTATTACAGCTGATATGAGTATGTAACTTCCTAATAATAAACAAAGTATACTTATTGCATGTACTTACTGTATTTATTATTTAGGCTTCTAGTTGAATGTTAGAATATTTAAGATTGAAAGTGAAATATGTGTTGTATGTGTATTGTCAACAAATAACGTTATGTACATCAAAATTTTATGAATTACTTAGTTCATACATATGTATCTCCTTATTTTGGTGCCTTAATTAACAATGCACACAAATTTCCCACACTGAATTAATTTAACAAGCTTATATAATAAATACTCAAAAGTACAATCTTCTGCCTGTACTAACTTCAGAGGACATTCTCTCTCATGACATCATGCGGATGTAAATTGTAAAAGCAGAGAATTCCAGTGCGCGATATCACTGCGTATAAATTCTAAACTTTTAAACGTACGACAGTTGTGCTGCACTGATCAAATTTATTACATCCTCAGAAACTATAAAAAAGAAAGTAAGCGAGCACCAGCCCCCCTCCGACCCGCCCACGGCCAACTTTTGAGAAGCAAAAGACATGTTAAAAAAGTGGCGCGCCATGCAGTCTGGTCTGCTGCTACCGTGGCGTGTCGTAACCGGCACGCTGCGGATAACGACCGCTTCTACTATGCAACACATCCGATAGTCTTCTATTACGGTCCGATGAAAAACTCACTCGTATTAATACGGCGATGTACGAGTATATAAACGTATTAGCACTTATACACGACGAAGCGGCTTCATAATTCTTATGCCAGTTTGGTGAATTTGATTATAACTCTTCATCGGTAGATGAATATTTTAAAGATGTTACTTTACCTACTTACTTCATTAATAATTTAGTACATTGGGTATTGTATACATAAAAAGTAGTGACAAAAATTACTTATGGTAGATAAGTTTAATTGGTACATAACAGGTGCGTAACGCTGATGCCTTTATATATTTGAGTATATTCTTACTTAAATCTATCGTAATGAGCAATCTAAAGAATATCTTTCTTATTTTTGTTCAGATATATTTCAGAAAACATGTTTATAAAAATAAATTTGATTAATTATTACAGATGGGTAGGTAGTATTTTATGTAATAAAAAGCGATATGTTTCGACAAAAATTAAATCATCTACTAATGGAACGTAGAGAAATTTAACAGTGCGAAAAGTGATTTCAATTAAATCATACACATAGCTACATGCGCGAGTGTCGGTGAGACTGAGACGAGTGCAAATCCAGTTCGAGGCATATTGCGTCATACAAATGGAACATTTAGAATGTTTGACCCGGCTGGTGGCGTGGTGGCGGGCGCCCGAGCGGCGGCGGCGGCGGCGCGGCGCCGCGCGGCGGTGGCAGCGGGCGGCGTCGCGTCAACACCGACTACCTACTGCACCGCACCACGCTACCGACGACTCCTCGTGAATTCCTACCATTGTCACGTCACGACGTTACACCCATCCAACCAGCACTCCACTCCAATCCGCGACATTACCACATTCGACTCAAAAGCAGCCACTTGTTTGTTACTTTATCTCGACGTTGTGAAATCTTAGCATTTCGGTTTCATTCGTGAACCAATAACTGCAAGTAGATATAATTCGCTTTTTATTCTCCTGATAATAAACTTCATGATGTAACCACATTTAATTACGAGTTCTTCTCGGTTTTAAGAGACGCATTTCGTAACTTTTAATCACAAAATGCATGCTCTTGGAATTTAACACCTTCAGCGTACAGCTGTCGGTATCTGTGACACCTAAGTGACTTAGGCATGGGTGTTCCGCAATTGTACAACTTTGTTTAGGTGCTTTTTTTAAAAAGTTTACCATATCGGGAAGTTAAATTATTGGTTTCACGTCGTCAGTGTCTAAAAAGGTTGTTAAAAGTTAAACGGTATTACGATCGGTTGTGTTTATCGGGCACGTTAACCTGTCGGACTGAGTGCGGTCCACCTGACCACCATTCGAGCGTCTGTGGGCTGTAGGCTACAGTGAGGGTGGTAAAGTCTCATCTGCGCGTAGATGTGACACTAATTCATTTGCACCATACAAGTAGGTATATGTCAACACCGCAATCAGTACTTGTTGACGCCTTTGTATACAAACCTACAATTATGTCCCCTGTGATTATAATACCACAATTATTTTTTGCAATGACTTTAATGTTAAATGCATAATACCTTGATATTCGCACAAAATTATGATAAAAGAATTGCATGAAATGACATATGTATGTAGTTATTACGAAGATAAGTTGATTTAGTATTACCTTGCAGATACTGTAAGATATCTACAGGTTTCTTTAACCTACTACAACGTTACATATTTATCAGTCAGAAATAAGCAATTCGACCAGAAATTTGGCAGTTTCAATAGTGCAGAGGTCGGATGTGGTGTCTCCTCTGTTGATAGCTACTCTACATTTAGCCGTGATCACTTTCGTCGTCGCGCGCAGGTTCCTCGCACTCCCCGCGCGTCGCACGCGCCCACCTCGTCGTGGACTAACGGTGAGTTTTGTTGAAGAAAACTCACCATACAAATACAATGTAACAAACAATGCTCTTAATTTGCCACTTTGTTGTAATCGTTGCCATTGATCACACTTTACCTAATTGTGCAGAATTATACCCACTTTACGTTATTCACAGTACAGTATTATTGTACTTCATAAATGTATTTATTGACAATGTATGATGAAAGATGAATATAATTTGTTCTGAGAAAAGTACTGCCTTAGTATTATTTTGTTCTGCTATAATTTGGGTGACCGGCCAAAAGAAGCCAGTGGTCTAAGAAGGAACAGCGTTTTCAAGACTTGACTCGACCGATAAGTCGTTTGAACATGTCAATAAGAGATAACGGCAAACGCAAATAATAGAGTAAAGGTACCGAGTCGATGACACAAGATAAGTGGGGCGACGAAGGAATATCTACGGTACTAAAATAAAAATTTTCACCTCTAACATATGGTGTGAATTTAAATTGGGCAGGTCAATTTTCTACAACTTTAAAATGGCCAACCGATACGCTTTACCGTAATATTATATGAAAAATTACGAGTATTTAGTTATTTTCAAATGTAAAAGCGCTCAAATGGTATCACTATGGTTGGTCCGAGATATCCTACATTGTGCTAACCTGTGTAGAGTTTAGTTGTACATTCGCTGTTATGACTGCTTGACAACTATCTACATCTCATCTCAATTCGTTATTGAGTTGAGATGAAATGTTACTTAGTCGTGTCTCTTTCAGCGTAAGCAGTATAATATGAATACATACCATATAAAAAAATAATATATATATTTGTCTACTTTGAAAAAAGCCGAGAAACAAAATCCATGCTATATTTGTTTAAATACCCCCGGAGCAATCATTTCCTGATAATCTGACAATGTTTACAAACATAATATTAGATTCACCTGAATGTATCACTCATATTATTTTAATTAACTAATTTATATTTGATATATTTCATGGAATGTCACAACCTTTAATATAACACTCACTATTTGACGAGCGGGTTTACTTTATTTATTATTTTGTCACAAAAGAACTTCAGAAAGACTGAGTTACTACATCGTCTCTTTAATATGTCTATTTATTGTTAGAATGCTACAATCGTTACAGATTGTTATTTGTTATCTTCATTATCATAATAAATATAATTGTATATTGTATTATATAATGTATATCAAAACGACTAATAACTAATCAATTTGTTGTTATTTGTTTTTGTTATCAAAATCTGTTCATTGTTATTGCAGACTTTTCATCACGTTTATATTTGTAATATATGGAAGTTGTATGAAAACGGTATTGAACTTTTTTATTATTTGTCATTATTTAGACTAATATCTACTTCAGATTTTTATCTCGGTTTCAAATAATAAAATTCATTTCTGTAGTTAACATATTATTATGATCATTGAATAATACAGTGACGAAAATAAAGTTACTACAGTATTGATGTTGAATTTGAAGGTAAAATCTTGTTGAGGCTATGTTAACAATTTTG